TTTAGATACTGACAACATACCTGGTTGCTTCTTATTGTATAAGTTTGGATATGTTTCCACATCTTTCTTAGAATTTTGTCAACCACTGTGTCCTCATATTTGACAGCATCGCAGAGTCGGGCGTCAACTGACTCCAGCCGAGGAAGTGGTGTATCTGAAATTGATTTAGAAAACGTACGTTAACAGAGTTTTTTTTTCTCGTTTTCTTCTCAATTTTTCCATGCTCATTAGAGATTGTATGGTAATACAAAAAACAAATGCTACCTTTCCTCAAAGATGACGTGACCACTCACCGTTATTGGCGGATGCTTCAATTTTTTGCTGAACTATTTTACGTTCTTGTTCATCCGATGTTACCTCATTTTCAGGCTCAGACTCCTCCCCCATTCCCTCCATGTCTTCAGATTCCTGAACACCCAGCTAAACGTCAACTACTGAGCAGTCCATTGCAAAAGGCCTACTTCAATGTCGAGCAGATTTTTCATTCGATCTACTAGTTGAGGCAACTGCTCAAGTTGAGCTCGTGCTTGATGTGGCCGAAATGTCCATGCGTGGTCGATTAGAAAGATACTGTAATGAGCAAGTTTCACAGAATAAAAGTTTTAGATAATTGAGATAGAATGAAGATGGCGAAACAGACTTGTATTCATCAACAGGATGAAGATTTTTTGTAGCAAAAACACTCCAGTTTCGCCCAGTTTCTGTTTCTTCGCATAAAATTCGAAAATGATCACCCGCATCGAATGTCTGAAAAACTCTTCTGAACGGCTTCATGCACTTGTCTTGTAAATAAAAAATTTTATAAATAAATTACGCTAAAACATTTTATTTCTACTTCTACGTCGTTACTTAAGTACTGACTGTATACTGTGCTGTTATCCTTATTACACAATTACGTTACTCAGGAATATGAGAGAAGCAGCGAAAGCTTCACTTAAGCAAGCTCATAAATTGTTCTTCTAGAATCAAAACTGCCAACAATTTGGCCTGAAGTAGGGGAGTCAAGTGAATCCACATATCAAAGCTCAAGGACAATATTTACTGGGCCCGTTCAACTGAATCAAGTGGCAGGCTCGGTGAGGGCAGTGAACAAGGAATCCAAGAAAGTTTTACCAAGACGTAAAGCGAAGAGGGTAGCTAGTGGTGATGTAATTAGTGTTCATCACTTACACTGTTATCAATTTGGTGAAAATACTCATAATCGTGGAGTATAAAGATTGGCAGAGATTTTTAGAGGTTATTTTGGGCGCTGCAAAGAAATGGGTCCAATACTCTCTGATAAGATGGATGGAAGAGATTTCATAAACGTGCAGTGTTTCAGTGTGCAAAAGCTTGCATCGGTTTACTGCTACTTGCT